CAAGCTGATTACTGATGATTGTGGTAAACTATTAATACATTGGTTATTTATACTAAATTGCACCTAGCCTTGCAGCGATGGCTGCCAGTTATATGTGCACACAATGGGTAAGTGGCATGCAGTAGAGAAGCACTCCTCAGAGAGCTTGAAGGAGGGCGTCTCGTGCTGGTTACGCCAAGGTACATTGAAGGCAACTCCAGCAACGCGTTTGTGACATCATCGTTCAAGGCAATTCCTCAAAACGATGTGAGGCTCTTGCCATAAGGAGTTTCAGAGCGTTGTTTAAATAATGAACACAAGTTGAAAATGATATGGAGTGATGTTTACATTTACAATTTTCTTTTTAGGCTCACATTTCATTCAGAGTTTACAGCGATTATAATCAATGTTATGGTATACACTGATGAAAATTAAGATTAGTGTTGGACTTTAAGCTAATTACGGATGGAATCAGGTTTGCATTGATTGAGAGTAAGGCTCAGATTAACAGTCAATGTGTTTAGGTATGTGACCATGTAGACTGAGAATCTAGCAGCTAATGTGCTTTGCACCAAGGCAATTTGAAAAGAACTCGATGGTTTAAATTCCACTGCCACCTATACACGCTGCAGGGCATCGCAAAAAAAAATCCTGGCATGATGAATTGGCTCTTTCGACATGCCGACCCCAGCTTTTAAGCTATAAACCTGCACCAGTGGATCTCGTGCCAAGGTTTAGGGTTCAACCCGTTTGCTTGGCACACCGAGCAGTCTCATAACACCCGTAAACTTGAATCGGTACAAAGATATTCCTGCCAAGTAATCCTCAACAAGCGGGGGACTTTGATTTACGAGAGCCTCTGGAGGCCTCGTGCTCTGCCCATGCTCAGATCTCGCACTCAGAAGCGCTCTGTATCTCAAACATTCACAGTTGTGTCTATGTTTTGCATTTTGCTCTAAAAACATCCTTTCTGTCTGTGCTCCAGTGCTGAACTCTGGTACAAGTTTCAATCCCCCATACTCTCTGCGCTATTCTCCGCTGCCCCTGTGCTCCATCGCCGCTTCAACAAGATATATATTTTCGGAGCCGAGCTGGAAAACCTCGCTTCTGTTTCCCATTCAGACAATGATAACCCCTTCTTCTGTAAACTGATCTAAGTATGCCTCTCTCTCCAACATCATCTACACTCTTAATTTATCTAATTATACCCACACAGTGCAGGGCACACCTATGGGATATCTGCCCATGGATTGTGATGATGATGATGACCCAGACAATCCTATTTATATAATTACGCATTATAAAATAGAATACAACAGACACTATTCTATGTGTAGCCATACATGCCTATTTATATGTGTCGGTGCTGCCAGCTTGGATCTCCCTTGCCAAAGAGAAATTTAGTCTCATTGAGTTTCTAAATTATTGAAATACAATGAGACTTACTCACCTCACCTCTAGTCTGCCACCAATATATCGAATTGTCTACCACCATCTTGCACGCCCACCTCTAGGTCAGGATTGCATCTCATCGGGATCAGACTTGGTGATCGGACAGAGCGTGCACAACGATGTGATGCGATGCGATGTGATGCGATCAAGGAAGGCAAGATCGAATCACATCCTGATTGGCTAATTGGATTAATTCCAGTCAATTGAGTGGATGAGAACACATTAAGAACATTTTAACAGGAACGATATAGTATCAATGTTTTCGTGTTCTACTCTGACATAGGAATTAACACCCTGAGCCACATATCCACCCCCAAGGTTGCTCAGGAAGGGCATCTGCTTCTTTGCCCCACAAAGAGGAACCCACAAAGTTATTCCACCAGACGAGCGTCGTTTTACTTTACAGCGCTGCATCAGCAACAACTACAAAAAAACGCAGCCAGCTAAAAATAACCAAAATAATGATATATTTAATTCATTAGGATCATTACGACGTTAAGTATTTTGAGCAGTGATTCTCTTAACGCCATGATTCCCATTAGGGTGATGCATTGCCTTGAAGTCAGGTCAACTGCAGGTCCAACAGAAATCTGCGGAAGGCCTTACTTGTGTATTCACATTTCATTATTTTTTGTTCAGTAATGATGTGAATTACTCACAGAACCCTGTGCACTCGAAACTAAAGTGCAAATGTTGCCATGGATTGTTTGCTTTATTCTCTGAAGATGAAAATAACTTTTGTGGATTTTGACTGAGCCCAGCCGGTACAGCCGAATTGACTTGATGATACTATACCACTCCTGCCACAAGACGCTCTGGTTTGGCATATGGATGATGCTATATGGCTGTAACTATTCACCCCCTCTTGTGAGTATATGAATTGTTGCAATGTAGGTTCAGAAGGATCAATGTTAATGTACATGACACACATTGGGGAGCCCTTGTCAAGGCTGGCCATGTTACGGCGCTTTAGAAGTCGTCATTATTATTAGTACTACATTGTGTAAATATTTGTCTCGAGTGGCTACAGGAGTCAAACGAACTCGTAGAACGAACATCGTTGTGCGACTAATAAAGACAAAGATCGCCCACGTGCCCTTCAGCAGACTGTTGGAGAAAGTCCTGTACGAGAGCACCCGTGAAGGCCGGCACAGCACATGGGGGGTGGGTGGCCAACACTACTCGTGGCCACCTTTGTGTCCCCAATGCTGATGCTTTCACACGGCATCATATACTCATTTGAGGCTGAGTCGAACTAGGGAAGGCCCAAGACCAGCTTACATATTCGCCGCTGTTTTTGGTCGTGAGCGGGAATCGAACTCGAGTCGGCGGGTTCGCAGTGCCATGCGCGAGCAGCTCATGTACGCACGCCCTGGCGAATACTCGCACACAGGCACTTAGCATGTAGATACACACATGATGGGTACATAAAACACCAACTACAAAGATTCCCCAGATTGCTGCATAGTGCCATAGATTCTGTTAGCGAGCACCTATCAAGTAGTGCTGTAGGCACTGTAGCCCAGCAACATCTTCTCTCTTCAACCAACAGTGCTATGGTTATTCCTTTACTCTGAGTAAACCTAGGGGATGCCTACGCCAGATAGCAACTGCCACAGTCGCTGTCTATTATCAAGAATCAGAAACACATCACCTGCACCAGAGTGCAGTGGACTTAGTGTCTGCTATGCCAATGCTCACATACACATCCATGTTCACACTACAATGGAATACAATTGTTATTTATACATCGCCTAAATGAGACTTGCATCTCAAATCTGCGCAACACACATGAAGTTCAAATTGAAGTGCACACGGCTATACACTCAATCACATGTAGGAAAGAATGCACAAACACAAGTTCGTATTTAATTTTACGCACACACACACAGACGCACTCAAACACACACACAGACGCACACACACACACACGTGTGCCGCAGCATGAGAATCCTCCCAAGCGAGCGGAGGCTCTGGCTGGAAACGGCCTTTATTTACTCACGTTACACTGTTGCGAGCAATCCATTAGGGCAGGGCCTGCCCAATTATGGCATGACATCAAAAACAGTGTCATTTTACAGCGCTGCCGCGGGCGCTCCAGCGAGCCTCCCGGAACGCGCATGCCGCATTCCTGCTGCCCTCGTCAATTCCCCAGCCCAGATTTCCCGGACGAGACCCAGAGTGGGAACCTCACTCCGAGCGGGAACCTCGTGACCTCCGTTAACCCTCGCCCGGCCCAGCGACGGTTGGGATGCACCGTCCCAATCAACCGTGCCGACAAAATATTACCGTTTTTTTTTCTTCTTAGAAATATTGTTATCCGGCCAGATGCCGCTGTGGCAGATTGATTAATCTCGATCGGAGTTCGATTATCGGTCAGAGGTCGACTGGGCTCATCCCTTTGTGGTGGCTTGAATATGTACCACGTTTGTGGAAAGTTAATGTTCGTTGGATTTTGATTGATATACAACCTCCTGCCATAATAATGTGGAATCGAATCTATGGTATTGGCCTATTCTTGCAAATAAATGAGAACCAAGCTTGTGAGCTAATTACCTCAAAATTTAAAGTTCTGGTTTGAAATGTTCCACATTTATAATGGCTGGATCATGGAGACATCATGGCATCTGTGAGACTCCTACCTGCAGGCCTACCAGGTGGCCCGTAGATTTCAGCGCTGTTCCAGATTTTTTGTTAGTTTCATTGAGCCATCAAATATATTAATAAAACAAAAAGGTATTGTCCAGTACCAGGCAATAAGGGAAATATCTGGAACGATGTCAAGGTAATGCCAATATTTATCAGTGACTATTTCGTGATGTAGGCAATCTCAAGACGTGTGGTCTTCTGAATTGTAAAGCAACACATGAAGGTGTTGGCATTGCGAGAATATTGTCATTGCGATCACATGGACAGCGCAGTGGTGACGAGAAGACAGTACAGGGCAGTTGGGTCTGCGACCTCTCTTGTTTTTAAAGCAACAAACAGCACCGTCAACGTTGTACTAGATAAGCGTTAACACGATTCCTCCATTGAGCAAGGTTGTTCTAAGAGCTTTAGGAAAATGAGACGATGGGAGGAGGGAATTCCAAAGTGGAGCGGCGCGAGGGAAGAATCAGAAAGAGGAGCGCTGTGAGCGTCGTCCCCTCCCGTGTGCGGGATTTCTCCGGTTACTCGTTCCCGCTCACGTGCAAAGCACTTTTTAGGGAATTTGCCAAACGTCCTAAGCCGGAGCCTCCTGAAAAAAAGTCTCAATGCACAAGTGATGCTTTCCTAAATAATGCACACAAAATTATAAATGTCGTATTCTTTGTTACCGACATATAAGAAAATATCAATAAACATGTACTGTTCTTTGAATTTTCCAGCACACGGCGTATATATCTCACGCGATCTAACCCAACAAACCTCCATCGTGGATAATATTGGCCGCGAAAAGCCTACGTGTGACACCGGCGTACATAATGCAGCTCAAAAATTTTAAAAAAGGCAGAGAGGAGAGAGAGCGTGTCCGCATCGGACTGACGCACGACGCTCGGTATCAGCGATGGCGCGGAGGTGCCGCTCACCGAACTGCGAGAGGGTGTAGGCATCGTCCCCGAGCGTGAGCGAGCCCTCCTGGTACAGGGGCCCCGTCAGGTTGTGCCGCCGGGCGTGGTCCTCCAGCAGCTGGCTCGGCCGGCGGGAGTCCCGCCAGTGAGTGGGACCCGAGCTGCAGAGGGGCACGCGGCAATGGAGGTTCATACTAACCTCGTCCTTTTGTCCGTCGCCTCGCCAGAGTTTCCCGCTTTGTTTTGTTTTCTCTCCCGGTAGGGTCGTGCACTGAGATGGACGTTTCGTTTTACAAGGGAGGTTGTTTTTTCAGTGTGTGAGAAAAACGACATTATCCAGAAATAAGAATGAAACAAATGAGGGGGAAAGCATTCAACGGTCTCCTACAGATGGGTTCAACAGTTCACTTGTTAAGACACATCTTGGGGACACCTCGCAGCCCAGCGGATTTGGGATATTCGGACATTTCCAGCCCTTTGTCTCCAAAGTTTTGGATTACATGCCATGGGTAACAATGTTGAGCATCAAATCATCACCATCGTCACCATCATCACCATCGTCACCATCGTCACCATCATCACCATCATCACCATCGTCACCATCATCACCATCGTCACCATCGTTACCATCGTCACCATCGTCAGCCATGATCTTCTCACTGCTGGATGAAGGCCTGGCCCATCTCATGTGCAGGAATTGATCCCATCGTTCTAACTCCACAGTGGCCGTCCTCTCAGGCGTAGTGACGTACGAGCAGAACTAAAGTCAAGTACAACAAGTTTCCTAAACAACGTATTTGAGGAATAAAATGGGAAAACTGTAAAAAATACACCTAATGTTGGTCCACATGCAGAAATAAAGAGGTTACCAAGGGCAGGATTAGATTGATTTTGGAAAACTGAATTTGATCATTTCAAACAAAATACAATGTATAACCTCAAATGGCTCTTTTCGTGATTTACCAACCAGGCTTTGAAACTGCTAAATTGCAGATTGTGCAATGCCACCTTTCACGCCAATGCTCATTGATATAAGTGAAAACACAATTTTTTCTAAGTCTAAGTGGTACAGTAATCAGTATGAATGCCTTTCTGGGCCCACGGTTCACACGGTTTAATCCAGCCTCAATAACGCGCTCCTGGAGCTCGTGAGTATGTTTGGGAAAGTTAAAGATCCCATGGCGATATTCACAACATAAACCTTCCTTCACCTCGATAGTCCGCTGGGATAGCCCAGTTGATGGAGCATCGTGCTCTCAGTTGTGGGTTTGCGAGTTCAAATTCCAGTCAAGATCAACTCTTCCCATATCATCCCTCAGGAGTTGGTCAAATGCATACCACCTGGTGATTACCACTCTGTGAGAAGTCAACAGTGTTGTTATATTCGTAGAGCATGATATATTTTACATATATACACACAAGACTGAGTGTGAAGAAGTCAAAGAGAAGATGAGAAAGAGAAAAAAAGGAACCCGGATGAAATGCGAGGTGGCAGGATTGAGGGATGCAAATGGAGAAAAATTGTTGTTTTAGAAAGAAGAATAAATATCAAGATAGCCATGCACATAGAGAGACCATTTTATAGGGGAGGGAGTGGGGTATAGATAAACAGAAGGCCAGATACAAGAGAGATACAAAAAGTGATACAAGGGTGATAAATGGATTGCAGGGATATGAAGTTGATTGTCTCAGCCTGACCAGCAATAAATGCACACAAAAAAAACCCAAACTTATTCAACTTGTTTTTTCCACATTAATCGATTTATCCCAGCTCTCAGATAGATAACGAGGACTCGTGAAGTGACTTCAGGAGTAGTTCTGTGACGTAGGGGGGGCATTTTCTCGCACTCACACAAGGTGGTGCGATGCTCACTGCGAGAGCGTCTTTCATCCCACGTCACGATCGCAGAAGCACAACTGGCATCCGAGCACAGCGACAGCGCGCGTGTGGCGGACAGACAGAGATGTCGTACTCACACGCAGTAAGTCGCGGGCAGGCCGCAGCACGCTCCGTGCCGCGAGAGGTATCTGTTCTCCAGGTCGATGACCGTCTCGCCGATGTTCTGATCGCGGGAGAGCAGGTCGTAGTCGTAGAGCCCCACGTGGAGGTCCTTCTCCAGGGGCAGGACGCACGTCACCTCGAACACCCTGCAGCGGGGCGACACAGGGGGGAGGGTTCAGCAGGAGACGAGGCAGGTGGAGGTTGCAGGTGAGGAGGAGGAGGGCGGCACCCGGCGTGGAATTCAGCACGACTTGAGGGTAATAAGTTGGGGCCTGGGGGTGGTGGTCGGTGTAAGTGATGACTGTGGGCCGAGAGTTGTGGACCAAGCAGAGATCCACGCCTGAAGGAATGTAAGATACACTGAGCGCGTGCGTGTAAGGGAGCAAGCGTGAGTTTAGAGTTGGCATTACACTGAGCTGAGCAGCGGCCGCTCTGTAGTCATGGCGTCAAGAGCGTTGGTTCCATCCAGAGACACGCGGACTCCAATTTCAAAGGGACGCGTTATTTTTGGAGAGAAACGTCTTCATACGCGACTGTGCGTGTGTTCATGATTTAAACACGAAAGCCTTACATACACACTTTGATGCAAAACCTGTATGTAAAGGAAATACAAAGCATAGGTACGATATGTATCAAATTGTATTGCAGAGTTGCTGCCTCCAAAAAAGCCAGTGGGAAAAATATATATTCACAAAACCAGTTGTGTTTTTTAAAGAAAATCTATCATGTCTAGGACTAGACGGGACTCAGTGAAATTAGTGGTCCTAATCCAGGAGTGGAAATTCTACATTAATATGGTGGGGCCCAGTTCGTGCGAATGATTTCGACTCTTGACCTCTCACCGAGTGGGTGCAGAGTGTCTCGCCAAATGGTGCGCATTGTACCAACCGTGGAGGGAGTGATGGTCGCGTTTGAGAGTGGAAAACACATGGCCGAGTGGTCACGGTTTCACTCTCCTACGTGGTGGCCTATAATTCTAGATTAGAAGTTTTCGTAACTGCAAGGATCCATACTCTTTGGTTCTTTCGATAAAGTCACGTAGGTGAAAAAAAATAAAAATAAAATACAAAATTTAAATGAGTAAATTTAGTTATTTTCATTTTATTTGTATTTATTTTTATTTTCACCTACGTGACTTTACCGAAAGAACCCAAAAGTATGGTGACCTATATTTAACTATATTTACATATTTACCAAGAATAACAGAAGGGCGAAGTTTTAGCTCGCTGATACAAACTCAACAAGGTGGGCTTTGCAGGGAAACTGAGGACATATATCATAGTTCAGCTTCCTGAGTCTTGGGTGGCTCGTTCTTTCATCGTAGAGCACAGCTCAAATACATCATTTGTGAAGGCGTTCTTCGGTTCAATGTTTCATTATTTCATCATGTATGCAGTCGTGTTGCTGTGTAACTTCCATATTATTTTGGCCCTTTCTGTAAAGCGCTACAGTATATGCACAACGACTTTAAACAGACGTTTCCCGACAGCTCTTCTGGACTCCTCACGACTTGACTTTCTAGGAGGCACAGCCGAGCATTATTCGCTGCCGTTTCATTATTGTTGCGTTTTATAACAGCAGTTCCTCGTCGTTTAGTGATTGAAGCAAAGGCCTATGGGACCCGCTTGTTCCTCTTGCACTGCTCGAACCTTTCATTCCCTCACTTTGTCTCTTTTCCGCAAGCTTTTATAATAACCTTGCTCTATCCAAGAAGCGTGGTTCACTCTTATCTATCGCAACTTTGACGGTCCGGTTTGTTACTGGACGCTTAATGCTTTTGGCCCTTTGGCCCTTTTCTCACCAACTTTGTTCTACCAAAGAGAAAGAAAAAAATGCAGTCGAGACCGATTGAGGTCCAGTGCCACGTGCCTATGGGAGATACTGAGCAGCAGCAAGGGAGAGTGCAAGTGGCAGGGGAACTATTTCCATGGCCAAGAGTGGAGCGGGCTGCCCTCGCGACGATGGGGAAGGGGTGACCACGGGGCGTCAACTCACGCCTCCCCAGGCAGGAGCGGCGCCGTTGTGCCCCGTGCGTGAACTGCCTCTGTGCGTTTTCATGAGCAATCCTCAGAAATGATGAATTGCGGTCATGAAATAGACAAATGACTGCTCCATTAAAGCAGCGGCTGCAGCAGCAGCAGGCACAGCGAAGCACGCTAACATCTACCACATTGCTGCTTCTTCTGGGTCCAGCAGACAAAGCAGAAATGGGGCTACGGACCAAGATCAAACATTCCGCCTTTGGCTCCATGGCGTGGGTGAGTGCTTTGTGCGAGCAATTATTTTGGAGAGCAGTAGCACAGCGATTAGTGATCCTGACTAATTGAGTTTGCTTCTTAGCTTAGCTGCCAACTTCAGTGGCAGGTAGTATCTAAGCCTGTGCTGGACCTCCATTCGGTTGACTCAGCCTTAAGTGACATGCGGTGTGTGAACAATAGCACGAGGGAGACAACGGTGGTCAGGTAGGCACGGCGCTGGCTGTACCACTCCCCTTGTGCCATTCTCTAAATGTGGCTCGAGGCCGTTCGTATGAACTTTATAAAGAATACCTGCGTACGCAACCATCTTATGGGCGCATGAAGTGACGCAACACTCACTGTGAGCATTCCCAACAGAAATTATACTCCAGTGCCGTTGAAAGTGTCACTGAAAGTGAAAAATGGGATATAATTGCGATAAAATATCTCGTGAACGATTTTCATTTTAATTTCTTAAGAACTGATTTTTTGTGTGTTGAGTTTATTGTCCTTCCCCTACACCTCCAGTTAGCACGGGTGGCTACGTACGGTGCGAAAGAAGTTCAACGTACGTACATCATCATCATCATCCATGGTCAATCCACTGGCAGATGAAAATTGCAGCTGCTGCCGCCGTTCACAAAACGTACAAACAGAGAAAATAAACAGGCAACATAAATAAAATACATTCAAGAGAACAAGAAGAGCTGCAAAAGGACGGTGCAAGAGGCATCATCCACTGGAATTCACCACGACTGCCTAATCATCGCAATGAAAAAGGGTGAGCGTCGCTTTTGGGCAACGCGCGGGCACGGCACAGCACGCGTGGCATGCGATCACAAGGAGGATCTGGACGAGGTGGCGTGACTCCAGCCAGACGTGCCACCGTGGACTGTCTGGAGATGGCAAGGCTGCCAGGAGGCCTTATCGTCCACACTTTATGTTTGTATTTAGAAATGTTGTAAAGCAGTGTTCTGCACTGCAAGGCCCGTGGGTCACTGACGGCCCCTGGTGGCCTTTAGCGTGGCCCCTGACGTGCGGCCCCCGACAGTACACAAAGAGTGACAACACCGCCCCATCATCGTCATCATCGTACTGCTGTCAAACCCCCAATGGTTTCAAACGTGTTGGCGGCCCTCACGCTGACGACGTCTTATCGGCGAGAGTGGCTCCCCTCTGAAAATGAGTGAAGAACACTGCTGTAAATGCAGCTTGCGTACAACTTTTAATAACCTGTCATTACACGTATGTTTGGCTGCACTGCACCGTGGCACTCTTGAAGGCACGAGTTAAGCCAAGACCCTTCCAGAAAGATGAATCACACCGCGATTCAATTGTGCAACAATTAAACCACCTCCACTCTCTACCTGTTTAGTAGGAGGGCCGCGATATGGTAATGCTACGATACATAGTATTAGATAATATCCACAAATGCCATATCGTCTAGTTTTGAAAAATGGTCATATCAAAACAGTTGCTACGCATTACAAATTTTTCTGAACTTTCCATGGCCTACTCTCTCTTTAATAACATCACAGGATCTTTAACAATCCACTGTGAGTCAAACGACGGGTATTATTTGGATAATATATCTGCAGTATTAACCAGGGCGGCCGCTCGGTTTTAGCTGTGAACCTCTGCAACGAGCGGCGAACGCACCGGCACCACACGGCCAAGTCACTGCCTCTCTCAACATCTCCACTCAAGGTCGTTTTCAAAAGTGTCAGAACATTTCTTTTTGTTTATGACCTTTTGAGCGAACGAATGCTCATTAAAGGTGTTCGCGTGTTTTAGCGGCGCGGTAGTTTCATACCTCTTGGATGGCAGAACAGCAGGCTACCCAATTGCGAGGTCAGAGATTAGATCGTGATCACGGTGCACTTTGCTCATTATTTCGGCAGAGGTGTCAGAATCAGGGCTACATCGATTTGGAGGGAAGTCAGCCGTGGATGTCCGACAGTTAATCTGTCTCTCACCATAGGCTATTTAAAGTTGCCACAGTGGCTGAGGACTATCGCTGGAGATGAGCATCACTTCACGTTTTGTTTGAGCGTGATATATCTATACCTTTTCTAAAGTTTAGCAGCTGATTGAAATAAAGTTTTTTCCATTTGCAACAATGTGCAAGTCGATTACTAAATGCAGAATGTATGCTATTATGCAGCAGAAATAAGTGGATGTCATATATTGCTTGGATACAGTGTTTTGTCTGAATCTGTAATGAACCCATCGCTACTATGATAGATCTATTCCCAATAACAATAATTATTCAACCAAGAAGGCCTCAATTGAGTCTCAGGAGTTTGATGATATTTCCGGATGGTATGTTTTGCTAATTGCTTTTCGAGTGTACTATCGCTTGTGGGATGAGTAACGTTCTGAAGCCCACAGAGATAACTTAGCAGCCGACTTGTTGTACTGCAATATCATGAGACATCTGCCTTCCGGTCTAGGTGTCTGTGTGATGTAAATAATCATTCTGCAGTCCATCAACTCTGCATCCACGGTGCCACATTATAAACATGCCCCACCGACAGTGAACGCTAGCACGAGGGAAATTGAAACCGACATGTAACCCTTAGAAAACTAAAAGCCGATGCTTCTAAGTTTTTTTTTCGAGAATAGAAAGATCCAGATAATTAAGACGAGGTGGCCTTATAAATAAAAAAAATCACCAGCACATACCATGAGCATCTATGCAATGGGGAAAGGCCAAGAATTGATGAACGCCTCCTGATGGAATGTGACTATGTTGGCCGTTCTGCCGCCTCGTGTGTGGCTGCCTTTGGATCATCAAAGGTGAAGAACAGAAGACGTCCCTGGGGTCACGTGCGCACGGGTCCAGAATGCGCATGCAAACTACTGGGGCTGGGCTCCCTTTCCCCGGGGATCCGCGACACTTTGCCAGA